TTTAGGTGGCATACTTCGTCCAGCAAAGACCACATCTCTTTGTGTGCACCAAGCATGGTGCCCATCAGAAGTGATTATAGCCAGAGCTAGTCAAAGATATGCCTTCCACCAGGAGTTTCATCAAAGCTCAACATTTTAGCAATAAATTATCTTGTTCCTCATTAATATTATAATGGTGATTAAGACTATTAATTAGCACTGAGTAACCACTTCTTTTTCCTGCTTTGTAATTCTGGGACTACCTGTAGCATTTGTTTAATGAGACATGTTGGCATTCCTCCAGCTCCCTAGAGCAGCAGCTGACTGTTGTGATATATGACAGATTTGTATTAACAACTCAGCTACCTCCTCCTGGAGTCCCTCCCCAGTTCTCAGGTGAATGCCATCCCCTCCAGGTGATTCATCACCATTTAATTTCTTCAGTTGCTCCCCTGCTGCCTGGTATCTGTAACTTCCTGAAAACCTCTCACTAACACACATAACCCTGAGCTATTTTTCTATCCACTTCTGCAGTGTAAACTAATGCAAATAAGCTGCTAAGTTCCTCTGCACTTTCCTTTCCACCTGCATCCTTTACAGACTCAAGCAACTCACAGAGCCACTGGGATTGCTTGAGATTTATCTCCAAACATTTGCTGTTCCTTCTTCTCATTTCACCTCAAACCCCATCAGATCCACCAGCATCATTTTCACTGAATTGCTGGTTTGCTGAAAGAACACATTTGGCTGAAATAAATGTTTGTGCCTTAACAATCAGCTTCCCAGAGTGGCTATATATGCATTGGTATAAAATGCAGTCAGAACAGAAGGAGGTCACTTTACATTCTCCCTACACTGGTGCAAGTGGTTTCAGGGCAGTGGAGAATCAGGGTGAAAATACATATTACACTTAGACCATACCACATCTATGGAATATTAAGCAATGTTAAAATTTGAATGTGCTGTGAGGAATGACAAATTGAGGGTTAATACTGTTTCCAGCCTGCATAGCTGTAACTTGCTATTAGAGGGCTGGGGAGCAGTGGCATGGCTAAGAGCCAGGACACCTGGGCTCTATCCCTGCTCTGGGAGGGCAGGTGGGGGCTGGGAGTGGCTGGGATGCTGGAGGACTGTAAACTGAAATTCCCCTAACGTGAGCTATGTAGCACGGTCCAAAGTTAACCCTCACCTGAAGTGGTAAAACTTTGAGATGCTCAGGGGGCATTTAACAAGAGTTAACAAGCTTTAACAGGCAAACACTCATGTTTTAAATGCCCTTAGTATAGTCTAACATGTAACTTTACCCTCAGTCTCCTGTGCCATGGTCTTGGTCTTTTCCTTTTGTTCTGAACTCACTAGGTCTTCCATGACTCTCCTCCTTCTGTAGGTAGTGGAGATCTGTGTGTCATTGTATTGGGTACAGCACACATCTTGCCACCCTAGGGATTGCATCAGGAGGGGCTATGCTTCAGGACCTTGGCTTCTTCCCTGGGGCTTATTGACACTCAAGAGAATTGCTGGCTTTGAAAAAGGTAGAGCCTACCCTCTTGAGGATAAATGGTCAATACCAAAGACCAGAGGGAAGCAGGGAGGACATCATGTCCCTGCCTCTCTTGGGGCTTCTGGGGCACAGCAATGTGGAGCTTCCAATGCCTCCTTCCAATCTCCTTCTGCTCCTTCTTGTGCACTATGCACATACAAACACAACCTACTCATGACATAGCTAGCTTACCCTGCAGCACAGGTCTTGCACTCGTCCTCCTCCACCCTGACTCAACAGTTGATTCTTAGCCACGGGGGCCTCTGCGGTTGCAGTCTGAAATGATCGCGCTACCGACATGGGAGTACAACCCTGAGCTGTAGGCGCAGCCCCTTAGCCATGTGCATGGAGATCATGGAAGAGAAACTGCTGAGGTAGGGCAAGTGAAACTGATCAGAAATAAAAGACTAGTCCCTGGCCCTGGCTTTTTAAGCTCTTGACTGAGACACCTGGAGAAAAGACATCCCAGCACCAACACGGAGAGACAAAGAAGCTCTTAAAAACCCTCTCTTTCACCATTCAGGTCAGATAAGGCTGCATTGCTGCACCTGGCTGGCTGTATGTTCTTTACTGTTGCAGCTCTCAGGGTGAGGCTGCTCAGTGTGAGTGTGGAAGTGCAGCAGAACAATGTGGTAGTACATCAGTGGGACTGCCCCTCCCTGTCTGCTCCACCTCATCCTGGCTCACACAAGTAACAGATTATATCCACCTTGTTCTGCTCCTGCATGAATAGTGTTCTGCATTCTTGGTTTTTATTTTTAAAAAATATCCAGAAATTTTTCAGGGTTTATCTTCAAAACATAAAAACCGGGATGAAATCAGGGTGAAAGGAAGAAAAGGGAAAAAATTGGTTTAAATCGAGGGAAAATTGGCAGTGAGGGAGGGACCGAGTAAGGCTGGGACTAGGGAAGGGGAGGGGGGAGGGGCGCAGCCCGTCAGCTGCTCCTGGGGCTGCAGCATGGAGCAAAGGTGGGGGAGCTGTCAGTAAGTGCAGGGCATGGAGTTGGGGAGCACAGATCTTGTTGCTACATGCCCTCCAGGAGGGTTGCGGGCTTGGGGGCTGTGCCGGGCTCTTCCCAGGGGGTGCGTGCCCCCAGATTTGCATGCGGGACAAAAGCAGGCTGCCGCCCGACCCAAACACTGGAAAGAGCCTAGAACCGGCACTGGCTCAGGCTCTTTGCAGTGCTCTTGCTGCAGTCTGCTACCACTCTTCCCAGCACTGGGGGAGGGTGGCAGCACTGGGAGGAGAGGAACCCGACCCCAACCCCAGCAGCAGCACCTCCCGCCCTGCCTGGGGTCAGAGCCAGGAGCCCCACGGTCCCAGGCAGCAGCTCCAGCCCCGCAGACCCATGCCAAGTGCCCTGGTGCAGTCCCTTGCCACTGAGACTGGGGCCAGGCTCTCCCGCCTGCTCCTCCCGGTGCGGCTCAGGGCTCACAGCTCCCAGCACCTGCAGCAGGGCCACAGCCGGAGCCACCTGGGTGCAGGTGGGACCCGCCCACCCTGGGAGTGATTCCCTTGGCCCGGCCCACCCTGCCTGTGCTCAGAGCTGGGAGCCCCATGCCCTCAGCCAGCGGCTCCAGCCCCGTGGGCCCATGCCAAGTGGCTGGGTGCAGCGTACACTGCAGGGAGTGGGGCCAGGCTCTCTTGGCTGCCCCCCACCCCACCCCAGCGGGGCTCAGGGCTCCCAACGCCCAGCACCCGGGGCAGGGCCAAAGCTGGAGCCACCAGGGTGTAGGTGGGACCCGCCTGCCCTGGGAGCAATCCCCACAGCCTGGCCCGCCCTGGCCCACTCCGCCTAGGGTCAAAGCCAGGA